TCAAATTCATAGACAGAAAGTAGAATGGTGGTTTCCAGGGATTGCGGACAGGAAAGAATGGGGACTTACAGTTTAATGAGTACAGAGACTTGGAAGACAAAAAGATGGGTGGTAGTGATGTTTACACAGCAGTGTGAATGGACATAATGTTTTGAACTTTAAGTATACTTAAATGGTTAAAATTTCAAATTTCATGTCTCTTTTACCACAATTTTTTAATTAAAAAAAAGAAAAAAAACCTCTTGGCTGGGCGCAGTGGCTCACACCTGTAATCCCAGCACTTTGGGAAGCTGACGCGGGCAGACCACGAGGTTAGGAGTTCAAGAACATCCTGGCCAACACAGAGAAACCCTGTCTCTACTAAAAATACAAAAATTAGCTGGGCATGGTGGTGTGTGTAGCTGTGCCCGTAGTCCCAGCTACTCGGGAGGCTGAGGCAGAAGAATCACTTGAACCCAGGAGGCAGAGGTTGCAGCGAGCTGAGATTGCACCACTGCACTCCAGCCTGGGCGACAGAGCAAGACTCCATCTCAGAAAAAAAAAAAAAAAAAAATCTTTAAATCTCTGAAGGCTACTATCATGACCCCATGGAATAAACTTCAGAGTAGACACATCTATTTCCTTTAACTATTCTTCATGTGACATGATTAAAGTCCATTCATACCATTAGCCACTCACCTCTGAATGTTCTCCAGCCATTATAGCCCTGTTTAATTGAGGCCATAGACCTCAATATGACACTGACCAGTTAAGAATGGAAAAGACCTACCACTGCCCTCAATATGGCTACTAGATTTGGTAATTCAGCCAGACTTCCTACTAATTTATTACAATCTTGTTTATTTCTATAGAGCTAATTTTCCAACTAAAACGCCAAGTTCTTTTTTTAAAACGTTTTATCAGTCAGAACTTTTTCAGTGATTAAAAAGGAAATCCAAACAAATACACAAAATCTATATAAATTGACTTAACCTGGAGGTATCACATAACTTGACTTCAAATTATACTACAAGGCTATTGTAACCAAAATAGCACGATACCGGTATATAAACAGACACGAAGACCGATGGAACAGAATTGAGATTCCAGAAACAAATTCACACGTTTATAATCAACTCATTTTTAACAAAGGCGCCAAGAACATACACTGGGGAAAGAATAGTCTCTTGAATAAATGGTGCTTGAAAGACTAGATATCTATATGCAGAAGAATAAAATTAGACCCCTATCTCTCACCATATACAAAAGTCAAATCAAAATAGATTAAATATTTAAATGTAAGACATGAAACTACTGGAAGAAAACATTGGAGAAATGCTTCAGGACATTGAGCCAGGCTAAGATTTCTTCTTTTGGGGGGGTGCAGGGGAAGGCATGGGGGCAGAGAAAAGCTCTCCACCTTTCTCTGGTAAGAGAAAGAGGTCACCAGGTAAGGTGTCGCCAGGTGGCTTCCAGGTTCATGAGTGGTAGAACAAAGCAACCGTATTGTTCTCAACAACCCCAGTCAACGTATCAAATGTATCATTGCTTTTCCTGGGCTCTAACTGGGTCACATCCCTGAATCAGTCTCCATGGCCAGGCTATTGCTAGTGCTGAGTGTCTTAGTTCTAAGCCACATGTTCTGCCCCTGACCAGGGATGTAGTCAATTCCACTGAATCAGCCTGTGAGCTAGATGAGGAGAGGAAGTAGTCGCTAGAGAATAATCAGGTTAGTCTTATCAACAGGGAGAGGGGGTGTTGAGTGCAAAAACTACAGACTCAATTAATTCAACTAGATATTTTGTGGACTAAGATATGTTACTCTACCTTTAGCCCGATTAAACACCAACTCGTTAGACTTCTGGCAAGATATTTTGGGGATCATAATTCTATCAGGCAATGCATTTATTGTTTTTCTCAGCTGTATGTAGTTGACAGCGTGATGAATGTGCCTTGCATATTGTATTGCACTCAGTGATGAATGGATTGGAAATACATTTATATCTGTTATATAAGCACATTACATAATATATAAACAGGCTGTTAAACACAGAGCCCCTCAGCCCACTAGCAAAATCTTCCTTCTGAAGTGACACCACCAGCATCTTTGGACGTGGTCACACAGCTGGATACCAGCCCCATCCTTGTCCTATTTCTGGGCCCTATTTCTTGTGCTAGATACATTGTGAGACATCTTAACAATATGTGTAGCATCCTGGGAAGGTTCCTAATGGAGGCTTAATGTTCTGTGCAATGTATGGACTCTTCATCTAGTCATCATCAACAGGAGACTTTTTGCTCCACATTTCCCAGATTTCTTATGCTTTTAAACACACCAAAAAAAAATTTTTTTTTAAGTAGCAGTAGTCATAGCAAAGTATATACACTATTATATCCCAGGCTTTGCTCTAAAAGCACATAGAATTAAGTATTAACTCATTTTTTTCCTTACAACAAACTTATAAGAGAGGTAGTTGTCATAATTATCATCATTATTATCTTCATTTTAAAGACAAAGAAACTGGTCAGGTGCAGTGGTTCACACCTATAAATCCCAGGACTTTGGGAGGCCAAGGTGGGAGGATCATTAGAGACCAGCCTGGGCAACATGGCGAAACCCATGTCTATGAAAAATACAAAAATTAGCTGGGCACTGTGGTGCATGTCTGTAGTCCCAGCCACTCAGGAGGCTGAAATGGGAGGATCACTTGAGCCTGGGAGGTTGAGGCTGTAATGAGCCAAGATCACACCACTGCACTCCAGCTTGAGTAACACAGTGAGACCCTGTCTCAAAATAAATAAATAAACAAACACACACATGGAAACTAAGACCTGGAGAGGGAGCCGGCCCAATCCACATAGCTGGTCAATGCAAGCTGGGACTGCTGCTGAGGTTGCCTGGCTCCATAGTCCTTGCGCTCATCACAGGAGTGGCATTTGACCTTGACACCTGTCCTCTCCCACTTCTGGTCCCCAGGCAAACGTGCAAGTGAGTCTGCCTCAAACAAACAAACTAATGGAAACAACAAAACGCTACCTGGGTAAGAAAACAGTTTGTTGTCATAAGTGAATCATTTCCAATAACAAGTTCCCTTGGGGACAGACAGGTCAACTGGCTAAGAGTCATTTATGACTTCCCAAAAATACTGGGACAGAGACACCAAGCCAAAGGGTTAGGACCACCGCCAACTAAAGATCAATTAGAACTGAAAACTAAAAGGTATCTTTAACATAACGCCCACATTAGCAGAAAAACACAACTTGAGAAAGCTTTTCTTACACACGTATTTCTTCCCTGAACAATGGCTATGCTGATGCTTGAGGGGCAATGGGGACAGGCATGGGAGGAATTGTGTAAGTAAACTGGTCATGCACAGCCTCCCTCTGGAGGTCTCCTCTTCACGAGCAGGACTCCCTCCCAGTCCTCCCTGTGTTCCACTTAACCCATAGATCTTCTTTTTTTTTTTTTGAGACAGAGTTTCCCTCTTGTTACCCAGGCAAGAGTGCAATGGCGTGATTTCGGCTCAGTGCAACCTCTTCCTCCCGGATTCAAGCAATTCTCCTGCCTCAGCCTCCCCAGTAGCTGGGATTACAGGCATGTGCCACCACATCCAGCTAATTTTTTGTATTTTTAGTAGAGATGAGGTTTCACCACATTGGCCAGGCTGGTATTTAACTCCTGGCCTCAAGCGATCCTTCCACCTTGGCCTCCCAAAGTGCTGGGATTACAGGAGTGAGCCACTGTGCCCGGCCCCACTTGACCCATAGTTCTGTTGTCACCTTTTTTATTTTTTTAAGGCAAGGTCTCACTCTGTCGTTTAGGCTGGAGTACAGTGGCACAATCATAGCTTACTGCTTGAACTCTGGGGCTCAAGCGATCCTCCTGCCTCAGCCTCCTGAGTACCTAGGACTACAGATACCCACCACCGTGCCTATCTAATTTTTAAAATTTTTGTACAGAGAGGGTCTCACTGTGTTGCCCAGGTTGATCTTGAACTCCTGGACTCAAGCCATCCTCTCACCTCAGCCTCCCAAAGTGGTGAGATTATAGATGTGAGCCATCATGCCTGGCCTAATGTTGCCTTTAACCATACTATTAGTTGGCTCAATCGTGCACAAAGGCAAAATGCAGGTGGCTACCAAATGCAAAGGAGTTGTCTACAGTTCTGTTTCTTCTGGGAATTCCATCTCATGAAATCCCAGGTGGTTGAAATGAAAAGACTTTCATGAAGGGACAACTTGCAGAGATGAAGCAGGGCTGAAAGAATGAACTAGGGATGCTGAATCTCCACAGACTAACGTCAATGGGAAGCCGTTTCCATCCTTACAGCTAAGGAGGATGGGAGGGGACAGTGTTAGGGAGCCCAGTAGAGACTGGCTCTGCAGAGAAAGAGCCTCCTGGTGGGAGAAAGGTGGCTCCTACCAAACACGGCACTAGGGGAGGGCAGGAAGAAATGCCCCATCTCTCTCTTCTCCCCATCAGGTTCCTGCTGGTGCCTCCCATGGGCAAGCGAGAGGGTGAGGGATCCTGGGTGGGGCAGTCGGCAAGGGTCAGCCCTCAGGGTACAGAAAATGGCGGTAAAGGTTGCTGAGTACATCTGGAGAACAGAGAGGGGAGAGCACAATGTCTCTTTCAAAGGTGGTAAACTGAGTCATTGAGGAAAACAGGAACATGTTTCAGATCAAAAAGGGCAATGCAGAACCAAGATGAGGGCCTCACTTTCCCTTCTGGGCTCACTGATTTCGAGAAGCCTGAATGCCTGGAAAGAATCAGAAAATCTCAAATGACGTCCAATCCCTCGGGTTTCTTTCCAATACATGGCGATGTTACAAATGGCACGCAGTGATCCGCCCTTCTTCAGAAGTGGTGAGAGAGTGTGTGGCCAGGATGACTCAGTCTTCCGCCTGGATTCACTTGAGAAGTTTTACTGAATCACTTGTGTGGGTAACGACTTGGGTATTGTTATTCTTTCAGTGAACTGGCTCCACACACTCACTTTGTGTCTGTTTGATGCATGAAGGTGACTCATCTGAGGAAGTTGATCTGACCATGGTTTACCAGGCAGCCTCTAACGGAGATGTCAATGCTCTGACTGCAGTCATTCGGGAAGACCCTTCTATCCTAGAATGCTGTGACAGCGAAGGTGAGATATGTGTGCATTTGGAATCCAGAATGTTCTGCTCTATTTTTTTAGAGATGGCTTTCAGACATGAGCAATGTTAATAAATGTATATCTGACCAGCCATTTTGATACTGTGGCTATGTGCAGATATCTTGGTATTTCTTTAAATAAGGGGGTAGATGCAAAGTTTCAGATTCTTTTTCATTGCTTCTGATAAAGAAGTCATCAGTTTGAGTTTGTTTTCAATATCTTTGTATGAATGACCGAAATAGATAGGTCAAGTAGTTAGGAAATGGTACGGAAAGAGCAGGCTACTTTTGGTAGCAATGGATGTTGAGAAAATGTGACTGTAAAAGGCAGAGAGCAAGGATTTCTGCTCCTGGGAAGATGGAGTAGGTGCATTTCTTTCCTATTCTTTCTGTTAAATACAACTGAAAACCCTGGACATTCTGCATAAACATAAAGACTCTGGAAGATGGAGAGAAAATGACCGACTGGCTGAGAACTTCTGACCCAAGGAATGACATGGCGGTAAGTTCCCAGGGTTTTCTTTTGGCTTGACTATCCCAGAACTGATGCTGAAGAAGCTAGCAACCCAGAAATGTCAAGAGGCACAGAACAAAAAAAATACAAGAAGAAGAAAAGCTTTCTCTCTCTGGAAAAATGACCAGGAAAGGAACGGCCTAGAAACACAGAAAATTTTTTAGACAATAAGCTCCTACTCCAACCAAACACCACAAAAAGACATGGGGCCCTAGCCCCACTCATTCTAGCAAAGACTAAGTAGGAAACCTGGATTTCTAATGGCACCTTGCAATAATGAGGTGGAATCCCTTTATTTCCCCTTTATAGCAGTGTCCATGGAAGTCAGCTAAAATAGAAGGTTTAAGTAAGATTAGAAATCTCTAATATAATACCCCAAATGTCCAAGTTTCAACAGAAAATTACGTGTCATAACAAGAAACAGGAAGAGTCCAACTGAATGAAAAAATAATTGGCCAGGCATGATGGCTCATGCCTGTAATCTCCGCACTTTGGGAGGCCAAGGCAGGTGGATTATCTGAGGTTAGGAGTTCGAGACCAGCCTGACCAACATGGAAAAACCCCGTCTCTACTAAAAACACAAAATTAGCCAGGCATGGTGGCACATGCCTGTAATCCCAGCTACTCAGGAGGCTGAGGCAGGAGAATCACTTGAACCTGGGAGGCAGAGGTTGCAGTGAGTCGAGATTATGCCATTGCACTCCAGCCTGGGCAACAAGAGTGAAACTCCATCTTAAAAAAAAAAAAATCAACAGATGCCAATGAAAGAGATGTTAGAATTATCTAACAAAGATTTTCAATTATCTAACCGTAACAAAAATGCTTCAATGAGCAATTGAAAACATGCTTAAAACTAAAGAAAAAAAGTCTAAGCAAAGAAATAAAAGAAAGAAGAGAAAACCAAATGAGAGTTTTTAAAAATAAAAAATACAATCATCACAATGTTAAAACTTGGTAAATAAGCTCAGCAGCAGAATGAAGATGCAGAGGAAAGAAATGAATGAATTTGAAAATAGAACAATAAGAAATAGCCAATAAGAAATAGATAATCTGAAGAGCCCTATAATTAGAAAATTGACTTCATAATTTTAACCCCCTCCAAAAATATATCTTCAGGAATGGATTATTTCACCAGAGATTTGTGATCCTCCCAGCTCAGTCTCCCAAAGTGCTAAGATTACAGATATATATGAGCCACCACACCTGTCAGATTTCTACACACTTTTTTTAAATAATATTTTTTATTTTACTTTAAGTTCTGGGGTACAAGTGCAGATCTTGCAGGATTGTTACATAGGTATATACATGTCATGGTGGTTTGCTGCCTCCATCCCCCCTGTCACCTACAAACTTTTAAAGGATAGCCAACATTGATCCCACATGATCTCTTCCAAAAAAGAGAAGATAAGAAAACATGTCTCAGTTATGTTTATGAGCTAGTATTACTTTGCTATCAAAACCAGTCAAAGATGATGTAAAAAATAATAATAATAAGCCTATAGACCAGTAGTCTTCATGAATGTAGATTAAAAATACTTAGCCAAATATTAGCAAATAGGATTCAGTAATATACAAAAATAGGCCAGACATGGTGGCTCAGGCCTATAATCCCAGCACTTTGGGAGGCTAAGGCAGGTGAATTGCTTGAGGTCAGGAGTTTGAGACCAGCCTGGCCAACACAATGAAACTCTGTCTCTACTAAAAATACAAAACTTAGCTGGGTGTGGTGGTGCACGCCTATAATCCTAGCCACTGGGGAGGCTGAGGCACAAGAATTGCTTGAACCTGGGAGGCAGAGGTTGCAGTGTCCTGAGATTGCCCCACTGTACTCCAGCCTGGAAAAAAGAATCATACACCACGACCAAGTAGTGTTTGCTTTAGGGATGATAGGGATGTAAGACTGCTTAAATATTTGAAAGTCAATGTAATCCACCAAATTAACCAACTAAGGCAGAAAAATCACATGTTCATATCACTTCATACAAAAAAGCATTAGACAAAACAACACATATTAATAATAAAAATCTCAGAAAAATAAGAATAAAGGAGAGCTTCTTAAATATAATGAAGAGTATCTACAACGACAACAAAAACCCTAGAGCTAAGATTTTACTTAATGGTGAAAGTCTGAGTACTTTGCCCCTAAGACCTGGAACAAAGTATGAATGTCCATCTCACCACTCCAATTCAGTATAGTGTAATAAGAGTGCAAAAGGGCAAGAAAAGGAAATAAAAAGTATACACCTTTTGTTCTTCTTCTTTTACTTTTTCTTTTTTTTTTTTTTGGCAGTCTCACTGTGTCACCCAGGCTGGAGTGCAGTGGCACGATCTTGGCTCACTACAACCTCTGCCTCCCAAGTTCAAGCAATTCTGTCTTAGACTCCCAAGTAACTGGGAATACATGCGCTCACCACTGCACCCGGCGAATTTTTGTATTTTTAGTACAGGTGGGGTTCTGCCACGTTGCCCAGGCTGTTCTTGAGCTCCTGACCTCTCAGGTGATCTGCCTGCCTCGGCATCCCAAAGTGTTGGGATTATGGGCGTGAGCCACTGCGCCTGGCCAAAAGCATAAATCTTGAAAAGGAAAAAAATAAAACTGCTACTTTTTGCACAATTTGATTGTCTTCAGAGCAAATCCTAAGGAATCTACCAACATATATCTACAACTAAGTGAGTTCAGCAAGTTCACGGGATAAAAGATCAATATAGAAACATAAGTTGTATTTCTGCTTACTAACAATGAATATGCAGACATCAAAATTTTAAACTATAATACCATTTAAAATCACTCAATAAAAAGAAACATTAAGGTATAAATATAATAAAATACGTGCACAACTTATATGTTGAAACTATAAAGTGCTAGTTAAATAAAAGATCTTAATAAATGGAAAGGCATACCATGTTTGCGGACTAGAAGGCTCAACACAGTAAACACACGGTGCCCTTCGGATTTCTCTACTGGTTAACGCAAATTCCGAAAAGAGATATCTTGGCATGGAATGGAGACCACAATTTCTACCAAACCCTAGCAAGATTTTTTTGTGTATATAGACAGATTAGTTAAAATGTATATAGAAATACAAAGGAACCAGGATAGTTAAAACAATTTTGAAAAGTTATAAAGTGGAAGGAATCAGTATCCCCAGTTTCAATACTTATTATACAGTTACATGCTATAGTTTGAATGTGTTCCCCCAAATTTTGTGTGTTGTAAACCTGGTCCCCAGTGCAGTAGCATTGAGAGGTGGAAACTTTAGGAGGTTGTTGGGATTAATCCACTTATGGGCCATTGTGGAAGTGGGTTAGTAATCATGGGAGTGGGTCTGTTATAAAAGCTAGTTTGGTCATCTCTCACGAGCCCCCTTGCCATGTTATACTCTGTACCACCTCAGAACTCTGCAGAGAGTTCCCACCACCAAGAAGGCCCTCACCCAATGTGGCCCCCTCAACCTTGGACATTCAGGCCTCCAGAAGTGGAAGAAATAAAATTCTTCCCTTCATAAATTACCCAGTCATGGGTATTCAGTTATAGCAACAGAAAACAGACTAAGACAGTACGAAAATCAAAACTAGCTGGGTTAATCCATCTAGAGTATGCAAAGTTATGCCTGATACATAATAAACACTCAATAAATACAAACTATTGTTGCTTTTGGAATTTCATAACCATACTGTAATTAACCTTGCACTACCCAGGACGCCACAATGAGTCTCAAAGTGGCTAAGTTTCTTAGGTAAAGTTTCATAGCTGATAAAATAGTTGGAACTGGAACCCAAATATTCTGTGTCCTTGGTCAGTGCTCATTCTGCTCCTTATCTTATACTGCAGATGTTTTAAAGTTCTTGAACACTTTACCATGTGGTAAAGTGGATCATTTAAGGACACACGATGCTGAGGCTACCTTCCTGTACACCTTATCTGACCAAGTTGCTCCACCCTTTATTTTGTGTATTTTATTTCAAATATAAAATATTTCACCAGGCGCGGTGGCTCACGCCTGTAATCCCAGCACTTTGGGAGGCTGAGGCAGGCGGATTACGAGGTCAAGAGATTGAGACCATCCCAGCCAACAGGGTGAAAACCCATTTCTACTAAAAATACAAAAATTAGTTGGGCGTGGTGGTACGCGCCTGTAGTCCCGGCTCCTCTGGAGACTGAGGCAGGAAAATCGCTTGAACCTGGGAGGCAGAGGTTGCAGTGAGCCGAGACGGCACCACTGCACTCCAGCCTGGTGACACAGCAAGACTCCATCTCAAAAAACAAAAACATAAAGTACAAAGAATAACATGTCTGCTTGTACCTACCACCCAGAATTTAACGATTTTGACAATTTGCAATTCTTTCCTTGAATTTTTTAAAGGAAAAAAGTTACAGAGTAGTTGAAGGCCCTTTTTGTCCTTTTCCGATTCCACCCATTTCCCCCTCATTCCTCTAAAATAACCACTATTCTGAAGTTGGTGTGTATCTTTCCTTTTTCCGTTTTTCTGCTTTAACCCATTTTTTCTGGGTTTATAGCAATCTGTTGTTATTTTGATCTATAAAGCTTACATAAATGATAGTGTGTTGTTTTGCAATTGGCTTTCCTCACTCAAAATTATGTCTTCAGGATTTATTCAGGTGAACCTGGATTAATTTAACTCAGACATTTTAATTGCTCTATGATATTTATTTGCGTAAATATGATTTATGTATTGCTCTATTAATGTTCATTTATGCCATTTCTTGTCAGTTTAATTTTTGATTATTCATCTTTGATTATATCTCTTTGTTCATCAGTGTGAAAGTTTCTTTATGAAATAAACTTATTTCATAAGGGAATTACAGGGTTATAAGGTATGAGCACCTATAATTTATTAAATGTTGCCACATTTATCCCCAAAATGGTTGTCCCAACTTATACTTTAACCAACAGTATGTAAGAGTTTCCCAAATCCTTGACAATACCTGGCATTTCAGATGTTTTATAATTGCTGATCCAACACGTATGAAGTGGTTTCCCAACATCATATTAATACGTATACCCTAATTATTTTATTTATAATCTTTCATACGTTACTGACCTGTGTCTGCTCTCTCTCAAATTGCTTGTATGTACACATATCTATTTATTTCCTCCTACATTGTTTCTTTCTTTCTGATTGAATTATTGATGTAATTTATTTAGGTTAGCTCATAATTTTTTCTTGGTTTTATGAATTAAAATAACCTCCCAATCTGTAGCTAGCCTTTTTAGGTCGTTTATGGTATCTTATGTAATACAGAAAATTTTAATTTGAATATAATTGGATTTAATAAAATGTTTTCTTTATAGTTTGCAGTTTTGTTTTGTTTTTTTTTGTTTGTTTGTTTGTTTGTTTGTTTTGAGACGGAGTTTCACTCATGTTACCCAGGCTGGAGTACAATGGCGCGATCTCGGCTCACCGCAACCTCCGCCTCCTGGGTTCAGGCAATTCTCCTGCCTCAGCCTCCTGAGTAGCTGGGATTACAGGCACGCGCCACCATGCCCAGCTAATTTTTTGGTATTTTTAGTAGAGACGGGGTTTCACCATGTTGACCAGGATGGTCTCGATCTCTTGACCTCGTGATCCACCTGCCTCGGCCTCCCAAAGTGCTGGGATTACAGGCTTGAGCCACCGTGCCCGGCCTAGTTTGCAGTTTTTATGTCTTCTTCAGTAAGGCCTTACTAGTCTTATTGTTATAAAACATATTCATCTATATATTTCTTAAGTTGTTAAATTTTGTTTTTCATATTTGGTGTCTAAGCCATCTGGGAAGTATTTATGTATGATGCGAATTTTAGATCTAATTTTAATTTATCCCTTTTGTATACCCAGTTTGTCAGCACCATTTATTGAATACTTTTTTTTTCCTACTGATTTGTGATGTCACTTTGGTCATATACTGTGTTCCCCAATAGGTCTGAGTATTTCCTGGACTTTCTCTTCTGTTCTGTTGATATATTTATTGTTTTAATTACCATGGCTATATAATTAATCTTGTTGGTTCAAAAAGCAATAATCCTCTTTAGTTCTAAGTTTCCTTTTAGTAAAATTGTCTTGAAATTTTTTTTGGCACTTTATGCTTCCAGATAAATTTTAGAATTTTTTTCAAGTTTCACAACAGCTTTGTTGAGTTTTTACTAGACTTGCAATGAATGTATAGATTCATTTTTAGGAAATTGATAGCTCTATTATATTGAGTCTTTCCCTTTGTAAACAGTACATCTTTCCATGTGTAGTTCTTCTTTTATGTCCCCCAATAACTTTTATAATTTTTATCCACATAAGTCTTGCTTTTCTTCAGTTAGATTTATTCCTAAGTACCTTATTTTTGTTGTTGCTATTGGTTTTTGTTACTTTTTCCATTACTTTTCTTTAAGGAAGATCTTTTCTTTTACATATTAATTTTATATACAGGAACAGTGCTGTACTCTCTTACTTGTTTTATTTTGAGGGTCTCTTTTTTCTATTTTCTACAGGGACAAATGTACCAACTTAAAATAAATTTTGGAACCCATTTGGAGATAAATCTGTCACTCCTTCCTAAACCTCAGTTAGAGACACCTCAGGAAAATTATTTTAAAATGAAGAAATATTTGGGCCAGGTGCAGTGGCTCATGCCCATAATCCCAGCACTTTGGGATATTGACAGGAAGGATTGCTTGAGCCTGGAAGGTCAAGGCTGCAGTGAGCCATGATCGCACCACTGCACTCCAGCCCGGGCAACAGAGCAAGATGCTGTCTCTAAAAAAAAAAAAAAAAAAAAAAGGTTTGTTCAGTAATCATTTGGTTATGCATTTCAAAATTACTGTTTAATATCTTCCCGGTACCAGGTACAGTGGTTGGTGCTAAGGATTCAATGATGAACATGAGAGATGTGATTCCTTCCACTTTGAATTTGTAGCTTAGAAGAGACAAGTTTTAAACACATGATTATGCTAATCAACACATAATTATGAAATGAAATGTTAAAGAGTTACTAGAGAAAAATATAGGATGATAAAAATTATAACATGAACGTCCAATTCAGAATGGAGGGTCAGGAAGGTATTCCCTGAAAAACTTTACAGGTAAGCTAGGCTCTCAAGATAGATGTAAATTAGCCAGACATAGCATGTAATTTTATGAAAATAGTATCTAGGAATTCTTTAGCTTTACTTACTGAGCATTTCAGATTCACAGCATTTCAAATTCAATAATTGCCTTTTGCAGCATGTCCATTTTTTCTCTCAATAGTTATAATTACCACTTGTTGACAGGAAGAAAGGAAGGGAGGAAGGGAAAGGAAGGAAATTCTGCAACTATTTTAAGACACAGCACTTCGTTGCTGCTTTTTCCCAGTACAGATGACTAAAAGAGTTTTAGAAGGAAAAAAATTGGAGAGAAATTGAGTTGCAGTTGCCAACTCAATTTTTGGTGTCCTAGGGACTGCACTGCAAAGCTCATCACTCCCTCCTGGCAATGTTCAAATTCAAATACTAAAGAAAACTTTGGAAAAAGGGACACTTAGAAGTTAAGACTCAGCCACAACTCTGAACTCAGTGTTCTCTCAGTGAAAACAGAAATCTTAGCCGGGCACGGTGGCTCACGCCTGTAATCCCAGCACTTTGGGAGGCCGAGGTGGGCGGATCACGGGGTCAGGAGTTTGAGATCATCTTGGCCAACATGGTAAAACCCTGTCTCCACTAAAAATACGAAAAAAAAAAAAATTAACTGGGAGTGATGGCGCATGCCTGTAGTCCCAGCTACTGTGGATGCTGAGGCAGGAGAATTGCTTGAATCTAGGAGGTGGAGATTGCAGTGAGCAGAGATTGTGCCACTGCACTGCAGCCTGGACAACAGTGTAAGACTCCGTCTCAAAAAACAAAACGAACAGGAATCTTGGGATGTAGCCTTTCTCAGGGATCTTGGAGGTCACGGCTTGCAGTTCATCTGGAAAAGAATCACCACCTCCAATCCAGACATCTACACAAGTCTCAGCTGGGCAAGGGGCGGATCTGAAGTTTGATTTCTTCACCTGAAGAAATGAGAAGCACCTGGATCCTGCCCCATGAGACTGGCTTATTCCAACAGCCCTGCAAAGTTCACCAGAATGTGTAATTTTATCTCAATTTTTATTCAGGAAGAAAACACATAAAAAACTAAATATCTTGGCCTACATTGGTTCCGAAAACAGAGAAACATTTTCAGCACAGGTGGCCACTTTTTCAGCAAGAATGTGGGCAATTCAAGGCTGGGTACCATCACTGCCGCTTAGCACCAGCTACCTCCAATAACAGTGTGCTGAACCATCTGCCCAGACCGAGAAGCTTTCCAAAGGCACTCCCAGATTCTACGCAGTTCAACCCAAGTCAGGATAAATCTGCCTGTTATGTCTTAAATTATGCTGATCCCTGACACAGTTAAAAACAATTGTTATCATCTACGCAAAATGTTTTACTCAGCCAATTATTGCAAAATTGCAAAAGATTGAAAACAGCCAGTAAAAAAATACGTAGTTTATATAGATGCAGCAACAATCAGCTTCATCTCCCTTCAGTCCCATACAGTTCAGCAGCTGCGTTTGTATTGCAAACAGCAAAATAATAAATAAACAGGCCGATAAAGACTGCTCATCAGTTTCATGAGTCAAACATGTTTAAAGGCTGTTGCAATGTCTCGTTCCAGGATGCACGCCCTTGATGCATGCAGTTTCTGGACGTCAAGTGGACACAGTGAAGCTGCTGTTGAAAATGGGAGCCAATATTAACATGCAGGATGCTTACGGTCGCACGAGCTTATGCCTGGCCACCTACCTGGTACTGACTTGTGTCTGTCGCAGGGGCTAAGGAGCAGGGTAGGCTAAGGGTGTTATTATGGGAATCCCACTTGCAGAGGAGCGTTCTTGGATCTGTGCAGCTGGCTAAAGGAGATAGAACTAGAAGCTTTCCTCCAATCATCTTCAGCATTTATATCCCCGCTTAGAGCTGTTTTCATGAATTGGGACCATTTTGGATCTTCCTAACAATCCTCTAAGATAGAGGTGATATGGCCATTAGGGAAACATTCTTTTCTATCTTAACAGCATCAGAATTCCCCTCAGGATATTTCTGGACACACTTGGTGCATCTAAGAACAATCTTCCTAAATAACTCCAAAAGGGTGGGAACACTGAGAAGATCCAGTTGACGTCTGTGGGGCAGGATTGGTTGAGTAGAAGCTTGAGGCTGAGGAATGTGGAGAACATTGAGAACTGGGGAAGGTGGTGGGAGGGACGGGGAGATAGAGAACAGGGGAGACGTAGCAGCCTCTTAAAGGGACAATGCCAAGCAGAGGACTCAGCCCACAATCAGGGCTCAGTTTAACAACTGTGTCGTAATGCCAGTTCTCACCAGGAGAGATTTCAGTTCAACATTTCCCAACATTAGAGCAAGCTTTGTTAAGCCTTACTGAAAATCCTCAAGGTCTTCTCCTCTCAAACTCTTCCTGCGATCTTTTTGGGAGGTCCTAGGGCTGCCTTGAGTCTACATCAAACAAGTCCTAACCATCACATGGGGGTCACCCTTTTCCTTCCTCTCCAGAGAGGTACCCAGAAATCTTTACTGTGACCACCATTGCTGCCAGTGCAGCTTCTTGTATTTGCTGTGCCTTGCTTTTGCTTTTGTTCCCTACTGGTGGTGGTGAATTCACCCTGGACCAGCCCCACTGAAGGTGTCGTGCTGAATTAAAACACTTCCCTTTCCCAAACAGCACCCCTTTCTGCCATGAGCTAGCATAGATTGCAATGAAGCATTGCCCAATTCTCACAGAGATTTTCTTTAGAGTCAACTTTTTCATTTTCTATTTGTACCCTCTCTCTAGAACTCACATGCAAACCTGGGGAGAAATATTCAGACTGTGGTCCACAGATATTTTGTGCCAATATCCCTTGGGGTGCTTGGTTCAAATGCAGGTGCCAGCTGGTCTGATGGTAAGAGTTACCAGAACTTATTAACCTTAGTGTCAAAGGCAAGTCAGTGTATACCCCAGATCTCCTGAGGCAGATACGTTGGGAGCAGGACTGCGGTAATTGATGCTGGGGAGTCTGCAGGTTAAACAAACCTCCTTGGCAATTTTTTAAAACTTGCCCATCAAGTTTAAAAGCCACTGGTCTGTGCATATTAGCCGAAGTCCCATATCTAAGACAGATACATGGCTGTCCTCCTAGCCCCCTTCCTTCTAGCACATGCTTTAAGAACTCCTCTTGCTATGGACTTTTTCAGTGTCTGAGCTGAAGAAAAGAGAAAATGGGGATCGGGGGGTTAGAGGAAGGGGATAGAAAGGGATTTCTAGCGTTGACTGCCGCTAGCATATAGAATATAAAGTGAAAGCAAACTGCCCCTTTCAAAGTTCAAAAATTCAAAATGTTACTGAGGGAATGTGTTCTCTTTCCCGGTTCACAAGGGGGCATGGTTTTAAGGGCAAGAACTTCCCAGCGCCATGCCCCCTCCCATCTCTCTCCATCGGGAGGGAGATTTAAGGGTCTTTGTTCTAATTTTCAGCGGTGTGGGAAAGGGTCAAAAGTCAATCACTCCAGCGGAAGTTCCAAGGAACTCCTTTTATTGGCCAGGGGTCTTGGAGAAGGTGGGGGTTCCTCCTAGGTTAAAAGTCCCCTTCTTCCTCACCCCTTTGGACTCCATATTTGGGTCCCCTTCCACGACCACTCCCTTCGTGGAAGCTGTCTTTCCCTCTCCTGGATTTCCCCTCTGGAGTCGCCTTCCACACTCTCCTGGAAGTCTGTCTTCCCCTCCTAAACTCCATCTCTCAGTTCCCTTCCACTCAGTGTGGAAGCTGCTTTCCTCTCCTGGATTCCATCTTTCTGGATTCTCTCACTCAGTGTGAGAGGAGTTTTCCTTCTCTGGTTTTCTCCCTCTGGGAACTCTTCTCACTCAGTACGAGAGCGGCTTTTCTTTCTCTCATTCGGTGTGAGAGCTAGCTGTTTCTTTCTCTCTCCTTCTCCTTTTTCTCTCCCTACCAAAGTAAATCACTATCTACAAACACGTTTGAGTCCGGCATTTACTGTGCACTGTGCCGTGATCTCCTCTCCCATTCTTGGGGAATGATAGACCAAGAACCTGGAGAAACATCCTCTCAGGCGAACTGAGGGCTCCCCTGAGCCCCTGAACCCCAACATTACATTACAATTATTTGACTAGACAGTTACACAAGGGACTGGGATGAAAGACTCCTCTAAATCACAGTGAATAATGATGCACACCCTTGGACCCTAGAAAGTTAACATCTTTGCCGACAACTCTTTCTAGGAATATATTCTAAGGGGCTGCATGAGGAGAATCTGCCAGCAGGACACCATGTGGTGCCACCTTTTTAACTCTGCCCCCATCTCTGTGTGGCTCCCCAAGGCAGAGCCCTCTGTCATTCTGTTGAGTCTCATGAGAAGTGGGTGTCCTGAGGACTGCCCTGCGAAACTCATCACTCCCTGCTGGCAATGTTCAAATTCAAGTATTAAAAACTTGGCAAATGGGACACTTAGAATTTAAGTCTCAGCTACAACTCTGAACTCAGTGTACAAAAAAGCTTATCACAGATGTGTCAAACTCAAATAAAATATGTAGATGAATCTCTGCATTTAATGTATTATATAATAGGTAAGAATTGTGGCAGGGCGTGGTGCTCACTCCTATAATCCCAGCCCTTTGGGAGGCTGAGGCAGGTGGATCTCCCAGGGTCAAGAGTTCGAGACCAGCCTGGGCAACATGGTGAAACCCGTCTCGACTAATAATACAAAACTTAGCTGGGCATTGTGACACACACCTGTAGTCCCAGCTACTTGGGAGGCTGAGGCAGGAGAATCACTTGAACCCAGGAGGCAGAGGCTGAGTGAGCTGAGATTATGCCACTGCACTCCAGTCTGGTCTACGGGGCGAGTCCCCGCCTCAAAAAACAACAACAACAAAAGTAGGGCGTGGCGGTTCACGCCTGTAGTCCCAACACCTTGGGAGGCTGAGGCAAGTGGATCACGAGGTCAGGAGTTGGAGACCAGCCTGGTTAACATGGTGAAACCCCATTTCTACTACAAATAAAAAAATTAACTGAGCGTGGTGGCAGGCACCTATAACCTAGCTACTCGGGAGGCTGGGGCAGGAGAATCTCTTGAAACCAGAAGGCGGAGGTTGCAGTGAGCTGAGATCGCGCCACTGCACTCCAGCCCAGGCGAAAGAGGGAACTCCGTCTCAAACAACAACAACAACAAAACAAGAATTGCAATTCGGGGCATACACACAGACCAGGTGGTCCTCAATATGTCCAAAGAGTGAAGAGGAAGTTGTAGGTTTTATTAAAAGGAGAAATGTTATGTATTTTTTTTCCAGAAAACCATTGACACACACAGAGTTCCAGGAAATGTTGCAAAATGGGTTTTAAAAGTGTTTCAAACTTTCCCCCACCAAAAGATCTGCTTTTCAAAAACTGTAAACCTTTGGCAACTCTAAAATTTGCCCAGCGTGCCTTGCTTTTGGGTCTCTGGGTTTAATTTCTCCTTTTAATATGAGAACTTGATGATTTAGACATTAACAACTAAAAACAGATTTCATGCATCAGTAAACTATGACTCAAGACTGGAAATGTCAGAAAAACACTTGCTTCTATTTAAGATTTAGATATTATTGGTCAATTCTACAAAATTATATTCAATATTTATATTCTGCGTTTTGATGTGTTTTTGTTGATTTTCCTTCCAGAGTTTTCAAAACCAAAAGGTTCTTTTCTTATCATTATCATCCTTCTTCTCCATGCATTTTTTAACATTTTGATTTTTATTGCTTTGAATACTGGGGGAAAAAATTTTCAGTCATCTTTCTCATTTTACTGGGTAATTTTGAGGTTTACCTAGACACGAATGCAGAAAGATGGGAAACCTGTTCTGAACAAAATAGAGGGTTATCCTATTATTCTTCATAATAATAGTTTCATCTATTTTTAAGTCTACTTATAATTGGGCTAGTAACCCAAGCCATTCTAGATGAATGTAGGAGACGTTCTCTTTAGCACGTGAGCCAAACTTGGTTATCAACAGGTATGGGTCAGTTAAAGCAGCATGAGAGGGAGGGCTAGCCTGAAATTATACCTGGCCTTTGAAATGGGAGAGAGAGTGAGACGATGACCAAGACCCATGAGATGTGGTCATATCAGGTCTCAATCTGGACAATTAGTAGACAGCAGGTTTCAGCAGTTCACATAAAGTTTCCCCGGGGAATTTACAGGTGGATAAAACATAGCAATGGAGAGCCTTTGGAGGGTGCTGGTAATGCCCTGTTTTTAAAGATTCAAGCTGTCAGCATCAGAAAGATCAGTCAACAAGGTGGCAGGGTCCCAGCCATTGGAGTGGAGCTCGAGTTAGACTTCTAGGCATTGGGAAGGGGACCGACTTGATAAGCAAGGTGCTATGCTTGTGGTTATGAGAAAAGGAACTTGCACTAGAGGATCAAGCCCCATTTATCATTCAGTCTGAGCGTACATGTGTAATACCAGTGAGAGGCCCTAGGAACGGGGAGGGGGAGATGAAGAGATTTTAACATCAGTCTGCATGTGACAGGGTAAAGGTCCTCCCGTAAACCTGGGAATCTGCATCTCAAGACCTTCAGCCCTCTGTTGAGGCGTCTGAGATGGAGTTGTGGTTCTTAACCACTTCAAGTCGAATAAAATATGTTTTTGGCCAAACCAAAGAAGGGGAAAAAAATCTAAAGAAAGTGTGTTGGACCATGTTATGTGAGCTTGTGTTATATAATGATGTGGTTGCTCTTGTGTTTCAGGGCTGGCTTGAAGGCTGTGTGAGTCTACTCAGAAATGGTGCCAAGCACAATATCCCAGATAAAAATGGCCGCCTGCCACTGCATGCTGCCACTGCTGAGCCCGATGTGAGGTAAGAGGCCAGGTTTACATGATGCTCAAGTTGGGAGCGACTCAACTTGCATGAGAAGGTCATCTAATCCATCCCTCTATGGCTGATTAAAAAAAAAAAAAAAAAAAAGAAAACCATTTTTTTTAAGTTGCAGCAGATAGGACCACAGCAAAATATCCTAGAATAATCTCAAACTCTGTCTCCTCCTACTTCAATAAAATTTTTTTCTCCTAATCTTTAAGAAGAAATGCTGCTGGTCATCATCAGAATTCATATATTCATTTATTCCATTAACCAGTCAGTCAATTATGAATTCAACCACTATTTTTTGAGCACAGGTTATGGACCAAGGACTGTTCTAGTCCTTTGAAGTTCCACAGTAAATAAAACAGTCTCTGATGTCACAGGGCTTGCATCCTAGTCAAGGGCTTAAGCGCACCAGAGAACAAATAAATAAGATCATTTCTAATAGTGATGAGGGCTATGAAGAAAATTAAATAGGGCAAAAGAGCAGTAACTGGATAGAAAGGTTAAGGTCTAAACCCAGGGCCATGCCAGCCTTTAGGAGCTGGGAGGCGGCCAAGGAGCCAGCAGCAGGGAGACCAGGGGCTTAGAAGGAAACCAGAAGTGTGTGGTCCTAGAAGCCCTGTGAAGAAATATACAAGTAAATTGGATGATCAAGAAGGCCACCTTTTTGTAGCATAACTGAGCAACAAAGGAAAAAGTTTTGTCCATAACAAGGATAGCTTTTCCTTCCTCTGTGTCTACATGGCCTCAGGCCCCGTTCTTTAGAAAGCCCGTCGGAGCAGCTGCTGATAGCATTTCTACTATGGAATCAGTAACATCAGGGACTCTTTCTGCCGTACAGAACATGCCTCTGACAGGAATTGAGCATTTCCAAGCCTAGGTCATAGGTCAGCAACACAAAGAGTGTATTCATTTTCTTTTCTTGAGATGAAGATTCGCTCTTGTTGCCCAGACTGAAGTGCAATGGCATGATCTTGGCTTACGGCAACCTCTGCCTCCCTGGTTCAAGCAATTCATTTGTCTCGGCCTCCCAAGTAGCTGGGACTACAGGTGTGCACCACAACATCCAGCTAATTTTGTATTTTTAATAGAGATGGGATTTCTCCATGTTGGTCAGGCTGGTCTTGAACTCCTGACCTTAGGTGATCCACCGACCTTGGCCTCCCAAAGTTCTGGGATTGCAGGCGTGAGCCACTACACCCTGCCAGGAGTGTATTCTATATGCTTCACCCTCTCAACTCTGTGTCCAGAACTAAAACCTGAAGCTCTGTCCGGGTTGATAAGCCCAGGGCCATAATCTTCCAGGCTGAGGAATAACAAGATTTCTTTACTTCAATCTCTTTTACAGTAAAATAGAAGGGCTTGGGAAATTCCAGGACTATTCCCAAGGCTTGACTCTTATTATACTGGACTATGTCCAAAAATAACAGAAAACTAGGATTTACCCAAAGCCCAACAAAACAAGGATGTTTAGAGAAAAAACAGCAAACCCAGACAGTTAACAATCAATAGGCATCGTGAGGGGATGACTCTCTTTTGATGAATTAGGGGGAAAAAAAAAGAATGACTTTTCTAGACAACCCACAAAAATATTTAGTCACGAAATCATACTGTTTTCCCAAGACTGGTCTTTAGAAAATAAATTTAAAATGTACCTTTTCTGTTTCTTCTATCTTAATTTATTTTACGTAATTGCTTTTACTTGCCTCACTCAGAGTGGTCATTTCAAAATCTATTAACTGATTCCGGAAGATTAAAAAGAAAGCCCACTTGGCTGGACACGGTGGCTCACACCTGTAATCCAAGCACTTTGGAGGCCAAGGCGGGCGGATCATCTGAGGTCGGGAGTTCACGACCAGCCTGACCAACATGGTGAAACCCCATCTTTAAAAAATAAAAAATATATATAAAAAAAGAAAGCCCACTTAAGTTATGGTAATTATAGCTGTTGTAACACATAAAATCCAAAGCTTCAGTATTTTAACACAATAAAAATTATTTCTGGCTGGGTGCCATGACTCACACCTGTAATCCCAGCACTTTTGGAAGCCAAGGCAGGTGGATCACCTGAGGTCATGAGTTCGAGACCAGCCTGACCAACATGATGAAACCCCATCTGTACTAAAAACACAAAAATAGCCAGACGTGGTGGCAGGCGCCTGTAATCCCAGCTATTCAGGAGGCTGAGGCAGGAGAATCGCTTGAACCTATGAGACGAAGCTTGTAGTGAGCTGAGTTTGTGGCACTGCACTCCAGGCTGGGTGACAAAGCAAGACTTTGTCTCAAAATATATATATTTCTCAGACATGTAACCATCTAATGCAGGGGGAGGTGGTGGGTAGCTCCCTGCCACATAGTGATTCAGAGAGCCAAGCTTCTTCCATTTTGTAGCACCTTCATCCCCTAAGAGCACAGAATGTCCTTCATTCATTCTGCAGATGGAGAAAGAGGAACACAGTAGTCCCCCTTAACCCTGGACAGGATAGGTTCCAAGACCCACATCGATGTCTGGAAACTCAGACAGTACCAAAGTCTATATATGCTGTTTTTTCCTATACATACATACCTATAAAATTTAACATATAAATTAGTCATAGTGAGAGATTAACAACGATAATAAAATAGAACAATTATAACAATATGCTAGTACCACTACTCTTACACTTTGGGGCCATTGCTAAGTAAAATAAGAGTAACCTGAACACAGCGCTGCGACACAGCGACAGCCGGCCTGTTAACCGAGATGGCTCCTAAGAGATGGGGAGTGTAGTGAGTGCCGGATTTCATCCTTCTACTCAGAATGCCACACAATTTAAAACATGAGTTGTTGATTCCTGGAATTTTTCGCTGAATGTTTTTGAACCACAGTGAACTGTGGGTAACTGAAATCGTGGAAAGTGAAACCGCAGATTAAGCAGGGACTACCCTATAGAGAAGCCACACTCAGTTCCTTAAAACCTCAGCCTGCCATTGACACAATTCACTTCTGCTCGTATTCCATTAATAAGGACTAGTCATTCGAGCACATCTGGTTATAAGGTGCTCTGGGGAACATAGTTTCTAGCCAGGAATCCACTTCCCAACGGTGCCTCCAATCCAGGAAAAGGGAACATGGATTTTGGTGAAAACGTCACTGTCTCTGCTCTTAATCCATTGCAGCTGAGGGGTAAACTAAGCCTTGTCAGTTAAAATTACATTCACGGTCAATTTGGTCAGTTGATTAGGTTAATCCTCTGAAATCACTGCAATAATAAATTGAAAATCAACCCAAGTGTACTTCCTCTTGTGGACTTGTATTTCTATTTCTTATGCTTATCAGTACTCCCTGACTCTTGAGGATCTACATTAAGTCGCTGTAACTAGGAGAGCAGAGAGCTGCGGCTTCACCTAACGGCCCAGCCACCACGCTTGGATGAGTCGAATAAAGAAAAATAAACATCCTTTTGTGTGCAGGTGACATAGTTAGTCATATTGTCCTAAAAAGCCCTTAACTGATTCTGAAAGATAAAATTCTGTTTTTGTTATGGCGATGCTAGATGCTTTAACTAATAATCCCCAAAGGTTAAGATTGACTATTCCGAAACCAAAATTGTTATTTCTAGTAAATGCTCTTCAGAAATTGATTGGGTTAAATCCTAACAAGTCATACAGCAAATCAAATGCAGTCACACACTGCATAATGACATTTCAGCTAATGGCAGACCACTTATGTGATGATGGTCCCATAAGATGATTATATCATATTTTTCCTGTACCTTTTCTATGTTTGGATATGTAAATACTTAGCACTGTGTTACAATTGCCTACAGTATTTAGTACAGTCACATGCTATGCAGGTTTGTAGCCTAGAAGCAACAGGCTATACCATATAGCATAGGTGTGGAGTCCGCTCTCCCATCTAGGTTGGTGTAAGTACACTGTGTTGTTCACACAATGATGAAACCACCTAACGACACATTTCTCAAAGTATTCCCATCACTGAAAGATGCGTGACTATAGTTTGGTTACCTACAGAATACTTGGAAACTAGCTTGCCCTAAAGTTTTATCCCTAAAGCTAGTTTTATCCCTGCAGAATTACATTGATAAAATTATATATTTTATAGTCGTTTGAGAAATTGTAGGTCCATGGCAGAGTTTGATACATCTGCCTTAAATGTTTAAAGTAGAAACCAACCAACCCATGCTGTGTTGTAGGGAAACTGGGCTTCAGTCATTCATCTGTTTGTGTCAGCATGAACTCAGAACTGCTTTTTGAAGGGAAAAAAAAAAGCCTGGCCTGGCTCATGGGTATTTCCTAATCCTACAACCAGACTGGGGAAGGCAGCAATCTTCTATCAGGCCATACAAGGTTGTTCTCAATTTACTTAAGTAGACAAAACCTTAGGCCAGCTTGGCTGACCACAAAAACATATAAGTTTGCATTTAACTTACAACTATGATAATAACGTTTGTTATTTACCATGCTCATCTAATCCTTACCACACCTCTGTAGGTAATATTTCTATCCCTATTTTACAGATGGAAAATTGAGGCACAGAAAAAATCATGAATTCCCCACTGTATATGAGAAGGTAATCTGGCCAGTGGGTCTGCTGTGCTCCTGAGACCCACTATTGTGGACCTTGTTGAATTTATTTTAATGGCCATATTTTGATATTAAGCCCTTGGTCTCCGTTGAGAAGCCTTATAAGAAACAGTCTTAACAAAACTTACTGGTTCATTATTCATTAGAGCCTCCAAAAAATCCTATATGAGAAACCACAAGAAGCCTTTCTACTAAAGAAGGAATTGCTGTGCTACTTCTGATAAATTATTTTTTATTTTTACTATACAAACACTGTGACCTCAGATCATGTTTCTTTCATTATGTTTAGAAAATTCACAACTCAATTTGTGTCCCAACTCTGGCATACATGTAGGACTATAGATCTTGTTTTCTGGTTTTTTTCCTGCCCTTGTTTTCTCTTTGTCTTGTTTCTTCACTCATTATCC